CCCAGCTGTGCCCAGCTGTGCCCAGGTGCACATGATGCTCAGGTGTGCAGTGACCCCAAGTGTTGAGGCTGTGCCCAGCTGTGCCCAGGTGTGCCGCAGCTCAGGTGTGCAGTGACCCCAGCTGTGCCCAGCTGTGCCCAGGTGCACATGATGCTCAGGTGTGCAGTGACCCCAAGTGTTGAGGCTGTGCCCAGCTGTGCCCAGGTGTGCCGCAGCTCAGGTGTGCAGTGACCCCAGCTGTGCCCAGCTGTGCCCAGGTGCACATGATGCTCAGGTGTGCAGTGACCCCAAGTGTTGAGGCTGTGCCCAGCTGTGCCCCGGTGTGCCGCAGCTCAGGTGTGCCGTGACCCCAGCTGTGCCCAGCTGTGCCCGCTCGCTGTCCCCGCAGGGCAGGGCCATGGACCGGATGAAGAAGATCAAGCGGCAGCTGTCGATGACGCTGCGGGGGGGCCGCGCCCCCGACAAGGGCCTGGGGGACCCCCGAGACGGCGCCGGCAGCGACAGCGGTGAGCGCTGGCCCTTTAAGGGCAGCCCCGCCCCCTCGGAGCGAGCCCCGCCCCCCCTAAAGTGGGGAGCTGGCCCTTTAAGACGGCGCGGGTTGGGGGTGCCCGGCCCTTTAAGAAGGTGGGGGCAGGGTTGGGGGTGCCTGGCCCTTTAAGAGGGTATCTGGCCCTTTAAAAACCTTGGGAGTGGGGGGCCGAAGGGAAATTGAGGGTGCTTGGCCCTTTAAGAGGGTAGCTGTCTGTTTAAGATGGTACCTGTTCCTTTAAGAAGGTACCTGGTTCTTTTACAGCGTGCCTGTCCCTTTAAGAGGCTGCCTGTCGTTTTAAGAAGCTGGGGATGTCACTTTTTGGGGTGCCTGTCCCTTTAAGAATGTACCTGTCCCTTTAAGAATCCGGGGGGGTGGCACATTTTGATGTGCCTATCCCTTTAAGAAGGTGCCTGTCCTTTTAAGAAGCTGGGGGGGCACATTTTGATGGACAGGGGGGAATTCGGGGAGGTTTTGGG